GGATCGGCGGTAAAGCGGTCTGTGGCCTCCGCAGAGCGACGACTCGGACGTGTGGGACGACACGGCCCTCATCAAGGCGTACGACAAGGCGGTGGCCTCCTTCAAGGTAAGGGGGGCGGCCGGGCAGAGCCGGGCCCTGGGCTGAGGCCGCTGGTTTGGCTTTTATTGTTTTCCTCCTTTCTTTTCCCGCAGGACGCTTTAAAGAATGGAGAGTGCTCGGAGCCTTCGGACAAACAGGAGCAGCGCCTGGGGATGAAGAGAAAAAATAATAAAAAGAACAGAAATAAAAAGAAGAGCAACACGGTGCCTTTGAAACAGGTCACCTCGCCCGTAAATGCCAGTGATGCTCGTACCGCATGTTGTACTTCTCTGTGGTACTCAAAAGTAGCTTTTTCATCACCCTGACAGTAACGTTCTGGGGTGGGGGGATGATAACGTTATAAACCTTATTTATAGCTTACGTTGAGCAGTTTCACTAAGTACAAAGGAAAAACCTTGTGGGTGGGAGTCATCTTTCTCCTGGTTGGGACAAAAAGTAGTGTATAAAAAGGCATCTTTCTGATCATTGGTGTAGGTATTTACTTGCCTCTGTTGCTTCTGTTGCAGTGGAAGGTTGGTGACAGCTGTAATGCTGTTTGGTCAGAGGATGGTAACGTCTACCTAGCAACTATTGCCTCCATCAATCAGAAGAGAGGAACGTGTATCGTCACTTACACGGGATATGGAAATCAGGAGGAGCAGAGCCTGTCTGATCTACTTCCTGCAGCCAGCGATGAAACAGTAAATGGGATGGGGAATTCTGGGGAGGTGAGGGGCACTTTTTCATTCTTCTTAAAAGGAAAGAGAAAGCGGGAGAATCGACTTTTTCAGTATTTCTGGTACCACTGCCATGTTCAGAGTGAGAATTGATACCCAGTTCCATTGTGAACGGACACAAGCTGATGGAGGGAATGGAAGTGTCCCCTTCTTGAATTCAGCATGGAAGAAAGGGAGGGGACAACAAGAAATTAATGGGTGAAATATAACATAGCTAAAATGGTGAGCAGATAAGATTATGAGGTTATAAGATCTTTCCTGAGTAGGTCTAGGAGGGCTAGAGAGAGGGCAGGATGTGGATGGGGCTTTCCAAGCTTTTTCACACTAAATTGCTTGCTGTAAACTGTTCAGTGCATCTCTTAAAAATGTCATGGTCTTCTAGAATGAAAATGAGACTCCATATTCAACAGACGAAAGTGAAAAATCTTCCCAGTCACCTCAAAACAAAAACAACTGTACGAAAGCAAGATTCTCCCCTCAAAACCTACGTTTTCCTGTACCACCAGCAGCCCCAGGCCTGGGAAGGGTAAGCTCAGCCATATCTGAAATAATTCAGATACCACTGTTAAGCCTGGTATTATTATAAGTTCTGAGACAATAGGATGATATTTATCATTGTCTAGAAACCAAATAACGGCATTTTGAGAATGGATGTACAGATACCCGTGTTAGAACCTGTTGGTATGTCATTTTATAATAGTCTGGCCACAGTGTAGCCCTTTTGCAGGGCTGGTGTCTAGTGAGGAAAGCCTTCTCCCTAGCTAACACTTGCTTTGCAATCGCCTTGTAGCTTAAAAGAGGGTAGTTGTTCCCTGGGCTATGATGGTGCTGTTAATGATAGCACTGTTGATGTTTTAAGATTGCACTTCTTCTAGCCAATTGATGTGTTTCAGTACACAGGACATTGAAGGCAGCAGAAGTGATGTCCAGATGTCATAGAAGCTCTCAGCTGTAGCTTCTCTATTGAGTTACGAGGGCTGGGGTATTGATATGCTGTTCAGTTTTCCTGTTGTGCAGGAGTCTAAATAATAGTGCAGTTGAACGCAGCATTATGTTTTCTAAATATTACTGTTTGTGTAAGATTTCTTTATAAGGTTTTCTTTTATCTTTTTTTCTTTCATATCAATAGATTTGTATCTAAGCTTAATTTAAAGAGATTGACAAGCATAATGGAATTTAGTCAGCATGTGCCCCCAGCCACACAGGAGCAGACAAATTATCTGTTTGCCTGTGGGCAATATTAGATCTGTTTCTTCATGTGGGAGTGCAACCACTGACTTCTATTTAGAAAAAACTTTTTAAAATACTTGTATTAACTAGAACCCTGTTTCAGCACTGCTTACCTCAGTGACACGTGTAATGTAAGTTTTACTTTTCCAGTCACGGAGTGCTCCATGGGAATAGCTACTGTGTGTTGTTATTGCAGTTTCATTAAATTGCTGGGATGTGTTGTTTTTAGTTTAAGGTTTGTGAATTGCTTCAAATAATTCTCTTAAATAAAATCCTAATGCCTGAAATTTCTTTTTAATTTGCACTATTCAATTTTTCAATGTAGCCTGGATCAAAATTCAGAGTACCTCCATCGTTTTTATCTTGCTGGCCCCCACCCTTCCCAGCAGGACCACCGGTAAGTGATAGGAGAATGAGGAAGAAAGAGTCAGGAGATGAGTATTGGTGGTCTCAAGTTTTTTACCTGAATGTGCTCACCGCATGTGTTTTTAGAACACTTTTATGTGTTAGAGTCTGTATTTTCCAGCTATTTGATAACACATTCAGTTACAAATATTACAAAAATCTAATGCACAAGTTCTAGTTTGCATTCATTTTTGTGACAGTGAAGCTGTTGATAAGAATGTAAAGAGAAAAGTTATTTGAAGAAACTAGACCTTACATTTGATTAACAGCATTTTACTGATGCAGATAAACATTTTCCTCTAATAAAACTTTTGGGTACAGTCAAGCTACAGGAATCGTATTTCTCCTAGGCTTTGGAAATTACCTGTTTTCAGAAAATATCGTATTTGACTCCTTTTCAGAGAATGCATTGAGCATATGTTCCTATTTTTTGGTTTTATATTTTGATCTTTTAGAATTTGTTGTTATCTAACCTGGGATACACCCTATTGAAACACAGGCATGTCATTTCTGATTTTGTAGTTGATTCCTCCTCCACCACCTATGAGGCCAGACTCTCCTGAGGATGATGAAGCACTGGGGAGCATGTTGATAGCCTGGTACATGAGTGGTTATCACACTGGGTATTACCTGGTACGTGCCACTTTTGTCTGGAAATGTCTTTGTAATTTTGCTTTTGTATTGCTGCTGCTGTTTTCAGCAAGAAATTAGACACGGAGGGCTGCTTTTTAGATCTCTTATACTAATTTATGATAGCTAAATTTAAGGGTATTTTGTACTGTGTAAGGATTCTTGACCTTGAGTAGGGTCACATGAGCCAGCATATATGTATAGTCAATGTTGGTTTCGTTCTTTGTTCTGCTGGAGGGGTCCCATTATGTACTTTTATAGCCAGTGTTTTATAGGCATTCTGAAACAACCAGTTCTGTCTTTGTAGACAGGTTGAGTAAATCTGAATGTGTTTATTTTACCCCTGCACTCAGCACTGGTGAGGCCGCACCTCGAGTCCTGTGTTCAGTTTTGGGCCCCTCACTACAAGAAGGACATCGAGGTGCTGGAGCGTGTCCAAAGAAGGGCAAGGAAGTTGGTGAAGGGTCTGGAGCACAAATCTTATGAGGGGCGGCTTCAGCACACTAACCCTCTGCAAGGTGATCACCCACACCAGCAGTGTGCAAAATGTTGGTGAATTTGTTCCTGAAAATCTGCAGTACACCAATTTTAATTGTAGAATCATAGAATGGTTTGGGTAGGAAGGGACTTTTGAAGATCATCTAGTCCAACCCCCCTGCCTTGGGCAGGGACATCAAGCACTGGAACAGGCTGCCCAGGGAAGTTGTTGAGTCCCCATCCCTGGACGTATTTAAAAGACGGGTAGACGTGGTGCTTAGGGACACGGTTTAGTGGTGGACTTGGCTGTGCTAGGTTAACAGTTGGACTCGATGATCTTGAGGGTCTTTTCCAACCTTAACGATTCTATGATTCAGTAGTCTTCTATATATTTTCTTTGAGTGGTAGTATCACATTTAGCATCAGATTTGGCATTTTTGCAGAGACTGTTCGTGAGTAATTGTTTCAGGTGATTGTGAAGGTCCAGCAGGAGCTGTCAGCATAGTTGTGAAAAATCTGTGACATGGAGTATTGATTTCTATTTTCCTTTGTACACTTATAAAGAAAGAAAATTACAGGAGGAATTAAACTCTACATTGGGGAAGTTGGAAAAGGGGGGATTTGGTGCCATAGGGTATGTTCGAAAGACTAGTTTTAGAATTTCTTGCTTCATATTATATATAATTGTGTATTGCTTTAATTTACTTTTAATCAAACAAGTAATACATATCTGAAATTATTCTGTTGAGCCACGGATTATAAAGACGATATGTAGCTTGGCCTTTGTCCTGTTTAAACCGCCCATTCTGATTTCCCCAAAGAGTTAAAAGCTATTCTTGGTTGGTAAAGGACTAAAAAAAACTGTCAAAAAATGTTTTTGTTCTGCAACTAAAGCTTTTATTTTCATGTTAGTAAAAACCAGATTTTACTAAATTGTATCCTGTAGGGTTTAAAACAAAGTCGAATGGAAGCAGCACTGGACAGAGAAACACATGCAAAATAACTGAATATCCATCATTGTTTTGAAGGATTGTAAGTAAGTATTGTAATTTTGTGCTAAATGAAGATACAGTGTTGCCAGACAAATTTGTTTGAAACTACTGTTCATTTTACAAGCTCTCAACAAGTTTTGAATTCCATGGAAAAACTCTGAGCTTCATGACTTCTGTTCGTGCTTATGGCTCTCTACAAAGACCACTTCTGCCAGTATTAATTCCTTCTTTGCTTAGAAGCTGTGGAATAGTGTTTTCTTGGCCAGAGTGAAGTATTGTATTGCTGTGATGAGAGGTTTAACTACATCATCTCTCTACATCAGGATTAACAGCGCAGCTTACTTGAATTATTAAGACTTACCTTATTTGTTTATGGGTTATTTTGAAAATAAAAGGTTGTTAAGTAAAATGCAGTTTTTGCACCTATGTACACATCTTCAGAAGCAACTGCTTCTTTATACAGATGGCATAGCAGGATGTGTAGCTAAACTTTGTTTTTGGGACAAGATGAACATTTTGGTTTGATATTGTTGAGAAGTTCTGTTCTCGTTACTTCAGTGCCTGTGCTTTTATTGGAAATCCTTTGTTTAGAATTCTTCGGTATATTGTTCAGTTCCTTACAGAATAAAACCATATTCCCTTGGGGACTTTTTTTCTGATTTTCTGTGACAACATGTAATTTCTGTGCAGTTAAGTAATACTTGTTTGTTTGTTTAAAAACAAAAAGCTCTTGTATACTAATTTTTGCTTCTTTTTTAAAGCCAGGTACACTGAGAGGTGTATATCACTTATGCACTGATGGTTGATGGTGAAGATCAGGATTTTATCAAGACAATTAATCTTAACATTTTCTTAACGTTGAGCTGCCCCTGATAACAAGTAAACAAATAACTTGAAACTAGTAATTATATGTGCATTGAAACGAGTGACCTGTAGTCAAATGTACTTAGAAAGCACTGCAACAATAAAATATTTTTTACTTCCCTGAAACAATTTTAAGTCTTTTTACCACAGATTAGATTTAAGTCTTTTAACTCCACGTGATAGATTTCGTTTATCTCTTATTTTAACACCTCTTGTATTCCTCAGACTTTTTATCTGAATGACAATGCTAGAACTAGCAATTACAGTATATTTTAGGGGACAGCTATGGCAGCAATGTATGTTACAGTGGCCACTGGTGGCAGTGGCCTGGAAAATGGTATCCCATCATATAAAGAGATACCTTATGGATCTGATTAGAATCCTGAATACAAGAGCTGGATTCAGAAAGGCTCGTTTTTTTGTTTCAAGTGCTTGTTAATAAAGTTCTAACTTTCAAACTTTGAATTTAGGGGTGTGGTTTGTTTTGGGGTGGTTTATATTTTTAGCTTCTGTAGCCATCTGTCTGTTGGATGAATGGCTGAAATACACGAGAAAGTTTTGCTGTTTGGCCTTTTTCTGAGGTGAATCAGAAAAAGCAGACTGTGGAAAGGTAATGGTCAGTATGGACTTGGATTTCAGCCCTTACAGTCTGAAGTCTTGTAGAGAAGAGGCTGCAGCCACAAAACTAGACAGGGATTTAGTTAATGCCAGTGGCTTGCTTTTCAGGGAAACTAGCCAAATACAAGCCTGAACTTTGCTGCATTCAGTTCTTTTTCCTGCTGCGGTCGAGTGTCAGAAAATCAGTTTTCCCACAAATAATTGAGCAAAAAGAGAAAGACATAATCTTAACTTCCCTAAGCCACTTTGAAGGCTTTTTCTTAATTGTTTAGCTGAAGTAAATGAAGATTGCTTGCAGTGATGCAAAGCTTCTAAATCAGCTGTTCACTGCTAAAGAGGGGCAACTGCCATCTGCCCCCAGCAGCTAGTCCTGTGTTAGTGTCTGGCATTACGTTACAAAAAGTGCCCTTCATCAGTTTTTGACACTAGTAAAATCTAGCGTCCAATATTATTTTTAGTGCAGTCCTGACCATAAAGGTGTTTATGATTTTTATTTCCTAAGTGATTCATGTGATTTGTTCCCTTGCAAGCAAAACAACTGAACAGAAACAATTTATTTTGAATAGACTTTGCGCAAAGTTTTACATTTTTCTTTGGAAGGTATCACTTAGGTACAATCTATAATGATATTTGCAAAGCAAGTAATGTTTTTAGAGTTACATTAATCCTGTCTTCTACTCCTTGATCCTTTAACCTAACCCTGCTGTAGCAGAGACTGGCATGTTTCATCCTGGTAAAAATTTTTCAATATGTGTTTATTTGCAATGCGGATGTGTAATTCATAATACAAGAAGGAAGAGAAAAAAACCCCAAACCGTAACACTTTGAAACTTTTCTAGTCTTGAAGAATTGGTGAAAGTGGCAAGACCCATTGCCAAGATAATTTTAAACTCCTAGCCTGGGGATGCTCCTTCTTCATGATGTCAAACATTTTAAGGTCCTCTGCATCAAGCAGCCAACCCAGCATTGATATTGTCACAAGACCAGGCAATCGAGAAACACACTGGACAAACGCCGTCACTGTCGGTGCACTGGCTTTGATCTGATGTGTGAATATGCGGCTAATGTCCAGCTCTTTTAAAGCAGGCATGTTATCAAGTGTTCTAAAGAAGTTTCTCCAACCAGGTTCTGTAACGTCATGATTTGCTGACAGCAAGAGGTTTTCGAGCTGCTGGAAACCTCCACAGTTTGCAACCTTTGCTGCAAAAATAAACAGACATCGATAAGGATTTAGAAATGCTCCAAACGCATATGAAACATGAAAAAACAATACAGTGAAGCTGAGGTATTGTACATTAAAAATAAAACAAAAGTTGTTGCTATTAGGTTGAAAAAGCTAAAACTTGGAACTCAACTCATTTAAGCATTTTAATACCTCAGACTGAGGAGACTGACAAAGTAGAGGATACTTTAGCAGGCACATTAATGTCTAGTAGAATAGGATACCATGTGTTCACGAGTGTTCGAATACCACTCTTACAGAGCAAAGCAAATACGCCAACTCATGCAACCACTGGAGGTCAGAGACCAAATCAGCTTTGCACAGATGCAAGATACTGAGTTTAACAATGCCCGTGTACCATCACATATGCTCTTCAGTCTTGCCTTACGGTCAGCCTACCTACAAGATTGTCATCAAGTCACTATATATCCTAAAATGTACGTCAAAAATAAAGGAAGATGATGTGACAGACTTAGCATTTGCTTACAAAAAAAGACATTTTCCCTGTCCTACATATGAGATGATAGTTTTAAGACTATAGTAAATAAGTATTAAATTCAAGAAATATTTTGGTAATACACAGTTTTAACAGCTAGGGCATGTAAGCTAATATAACTAGCAATGAAGTTACGAAGCTCTATTTTAAGTCAGTCTTTTTCCACTGATTATTTTTCTTGTAATTTACGTTGCTTTGTAGAAGACAAGGGGAACTAAGGAGGCATTTCAAAAGAGGTTTCAGCAAAGTCTAGTATATAAGCAGTCTGAATACACTTGGATGAGCAAGAAATATTTTGGGCTGTGTGTAGTACAAACAAGAAGTGATACCCATTAAAAATTACAAATAATTTGGAATTGTTGGAATGTATCAAACAGGAGATTATCCTGAAGCAGTATCTTCTCTACTCAGAAATGTTATTTCATGTTTGAAGTTCTCTCCTTTAAACTTACCTATTTCTAACAGGCTGTCATCACCCAGACATGTGATAAATGAGAAGCATCTGAGGTGTGTCAGGTGTAGACACTGCTGAATAACCAGTTTGGCTGCAGACTTTATTCCCTTCCCTGAAGGAAGGATGAGCTCCTCCAGGTTAAGAAGAACACCTAAATTGTATGCTGCAGAGATAAGAAGATGACCTTTCCTGTTAAGATTAAACAAGTACACATTTCCTAAATCTTGTAATGACAATGAGTGACAGCAGCAGAGCCAAGTAAAAAAAAAAAGAATTTCAATTTAGATTCTGGGCACTAGGTTACTATCAGCTTGCTTTCCTCAGGTTCGCCCCTGCCATTGTTGTGAAGGTCGCTTCACTCTAACTCAATAGCTTGAAAAGGTCATTAACAGAAAAGGCAGAACTACTTCTCCAGGAAGGGTCTAAGAGGTCTCATGGGTCCTCTACAGATAAAATGAATATTCCATGTTGCCAAACTCAAGGGGCCCCCAGGAAAGAAAAAGAAATTAGGGTAATCCTTCCTTCCCAAAATGCAAGCCTTTTCAACCTTACCCTGTTCGCTACAGACATGCCTTTTGCAGGAGGACGATCTTGGCTTTCAGAGGTGCTGAGCACCTCTGATTCCATCGTTTAGGACAGCCATCCATCTCACCTGGCTCAGCCCTATCAGAAGGACGTGAACACATGCCCTTCGGCACAAACTGCTTTGTGAGACGTGATTTAACATTCTAGTTCTAGATACTCTCCAATATCTCAAATGGCATTTAAGCAGTTCAAGTTATTTCTTAAGATCTCTAAAAGAACCTGAAACAAAATAATTCTGTCAAGTGCAACAAATGAGATCAGCCGAAAGGAAAGATATGTACAAACCAAACATTTCACAAGCTTCCTTGTCATCAAAAGATTGGCTATTAAGATCCAACACTTTGAGAGAGACAAAATTGGGCAGAGCAGCAGCTAGGAGGAAAGAAAAAAAAATATACACTGTCATTCTTGGAACTTAAAATTAGCAGTTTCTCTCAATTATTAAGTTTTAAAAAGTAAGTTTTCTGTATTTAAAAAATTTCCTACCTAAAGAAAGCAAATATGGATCTCTCAAGAATGACCCAGTTAACTTGATTTCTGTTAATTTTTTGCATGAAGAAATTGCTGCCAGAAGGGATTCAGGATTGAAGTAGCTGGAGCAGTTCAGGTGAAAAACAGAGAGGTCTTGGAAGCTCTTAACAAATTCAGCTACAAAACAAAGAGTTGCAACACTGGAGATTCATTGTATAGTGAATAAAGGTCAAAAATCAGTAAGGTTCTCTTAGCTCCACGTGTGAACTTTACTGTAGAGGGAAGCATCTTCAACCACAACAAAAGCAAGTGAGACAGATAAAGAGATGAATGGGAGCAGTGGCTTGATTTCTCTGTTTACATGTCAAAATCAGATGGCATGGCTTTTATTTTACAACTAGAATCATGATGGATCATTCTGGCCTTAAAATGCAAGCAAGTTTTGCTATAGATTCATTTCTGGTTTCTTTCACATGTGAAAAATATTCTAGTTTTTCAACATTTAGCAGGACTGAAACTCATTAAACACCTTCCCCCTAAACTTATTAGTTTTAGGTACATTGTAAAACCCTATCCAATGGCCAGATACGGAGGGTTCAGTTCTCTGAATGCTGTTGGTTTGTACTGTATGTTTATGCTGAAGTAGAACTGGGTAACTATTATCATAGCGTACACAAAATTGCTTAATCTAGGCGCACTGGAGTGAAAAGTAAGCTTTTTCCTGGAATAAGGCAGTTAAAACAGAAGTCACGACCCACTCATTGGCTTGTCAGAGCAGCTATGCACATGATCTGGACTCAGTTGCCAATTGTGCTGCCGCTCTTCTTCTTCCCAGCAGACTGTGAGTGGTAAGAAGGGAAAATACCCACTCCAGGAAAACAAAGAGCACAGTCCTGCTCATTCCACCATACTAACTTATGGAAGTCTATAATAAAGTTACAGCACTGAGAGGTTCAGCTCCTCTTTTTGTTGCAGTGGTAAACTCAAGCTGTAGGGTAGAAACAATGGGAAGACAACTCAGAGATGCTACATGCCTGTTAAAGAAGAAATTAAAACTGCTACTCAGTATTAACAAGTTATAGTGGAATACAGTACCTAATGTTTTAAAGTGCACCTTACCCAATCTAGAGCTGTTTTCAAGCTTCATTCTGCTCATCAACAATTTCTTCATGTTACAGAGATTTTTGAAGCCATCAGGTATTGTATCAAATACATTGCAGTTCTCACACTGACTCACTGACAGTTCCTCCAGGCAGATGAATTTGTCCAAATTTGAAAAAAGTAGTTCTGCATGAAGCCAGACAAATGTACAATGAAACTGGGTTGATCTGCTTAATCCCTCTGTTCTTCTGACAATTTGCCAAGGATTTTGTAACTGAACTTCACTATCTCACATCCTAACATCTTTGGTTTTCCTTCTCTTGACAGCTGCTTCCTATCCTCCTTGTACCACTCCACTTCCCTGCCAACCCATCCTTTGCTGAGGCTTCTGCTGCTTGCAGCCTGAGCATACGCCTGGCAAGATCCCACAAATGCACCTGCACTGCCCAGTATTCTTCTATTTTGAAAGCCCAGTGCAGGCCCGGTCAGATTTCCCCAAGCAGAAAACGCATGTCCGTCCGTGCCTGCTAGCTTGTCCTCAATACTGCACTGTCCTCTGCTGAAGTGCAGTTCTGCCTCTCTAGTGACATACCCCTCTTTTCGATCAAAAACCAGTATTGAGGTCTTTGTCTGAAATTAGGGGCGAGGATGGAAATCTGTTAATGCAGAATGGCTGCCTATCCCCTTAAATGCATATGGTAGAAGACAACTTTATTATTCATAGTATGGAGCTGTTCAGTTGTCAGGCACCAAGGGGAGAGGAAGAAAAAGGGAACTAGAGGAAAAAATTACATTCTGCCGAAATTCAGTTTGCTGTACCTGGCATTTCTTTTTCTTCTACCTCAAGACATTCCAGAAAAGACATTGAGAGAAGTAGTTCTTGCTCTGTTTTGCTCAAGTTAAGATGATGTAGACTACATTTTTTAAAATGTTCTTTGTACTGTTCAATAGCAGGTCGGATAACTTCTATGAATCCAGGACTGTTATTCAGCTGAAGTTCAATATAATCCGAAACGGAAAACAGTGTCATCAAATTTCTGAGGTCAGCTTCCTGAAATGAACTGATGTTGCTGAATGTACATTTTAAAAGCTGCATCTTCCCTGTTGTAAGTACAAAAGGACGCATGATGGAGTCTGGTAGATGTCTTCGTATCAGTGAAAGGAAGGTGTCAATGTCTTTTTCTTCTTTTTTCACTTTTTGTGCCATGTCATTACAAAGTGTAAATGCAGGAGCATAATCCCGGTCAATTGTTGGCATCTCCAGTGAAGAATAGCAAGAACCTATTGCAGATATATTAAATTCCTGTTTGTGTTCACTTCCTTGTACTGCAATCTGAAAACTACTGGGTAGGGACAGCGATTCTGGGTAATCCTGAAAAAAATGCAACTCAGATTTTCTTGGTGATAAAAATGAATGTAAGTGAATATCTTTGCCTCTTAGGAACTGAAGAATGATTGGGGCACACACAGAGATGGTATTACTCTCATAAGCTACAGAAGTTGCAAAGCCCAGTAAATACTGCATGAAAACTGGAAGAAGCAGTTTTGGATTAATAGAACTTAACTGGTCAATGAACAACATTCTTATTGGAAGGTCTGAATGGTGCTGCAGATGTTCATCATCTTCTGACTGGCTTTCCAATGACTCCTTGCAGTCAATCAATTTAAATAAATAGGATATAATTTGGGGTACTGCTTTGGAAGAAAAGCTGCAAGTATAAGCCAATAAAAAATTATAGCGCCCAGCAACTTTTCTAAATGTGTTGATTTGCTGCAAGTACTGCAGCCCTCTCTCCAGTTTTTCTTTTTCATCAGAAACCAGGAGCTCACTCAGTCTTCTCCCTGCAAGAAACTCCTGGAACAAGGGGTGAAAGAATTTATAAACTGGATGAAGCCTTTGGGCAGTAAATTTGCTCAGTAAACCCAGCCTAACAGCTTCATCTCTGTCAACTCCTGCTTCAGATAGATCATACTCAGTGAAATCAAAGGATGGCTTGAAAAGACCAGTTAAGGCAAGCTCACCACATGAGGAAAACATAGCTAGTACGTGTTCTCTTTCTTCACTGTATTTTAGTAAGTGATAGAGCAGATAGGCTTTAAAAATAGCCTTATCACTGATTATGTTACCCTTTGGGTGCTGTACCCAATATGCAGCAAGAGACACCATAAAAAGTGGTGTCTTTAGAATGGTCTGCATAGACTTTTTAGACTCCACCTGAAAGACAAGCTGCTCCACAAGGTCAATGTTGTAGGAGAACAATTTCTTTAGTACATACAGAGTGCTGGACAGAGGGAACTCCGCAATGCTTAAAGTGGTTGTTGCGTACTTGCGAAATTCTCTCGTCCTGTTAGTACGGACAGCAACAACCAAACAGTGCTGGTAGAGATGGTTTCTTTGTATAAGTTCTTGTACAGCTTGGGGCACTGAATTCGTCTCACTGTAGTCATCCAAAAGAAATAAGACCTGGTTTTTCAGTGGCTGGATTACGTCTCTGAGAGTTGTTTCTGTTAATGGTCCTACAAATCCTACTGGTTGATTGCATATAATATCAGCCATGCTCTGATCTGATCTTGCATGAATCAGGGAGAGATAAAATACAAACTTAAACCTGCTGAGAATGGGGCAGCAGCCTGAGGCCCAAAGAAGAGCTATTTTCCTGAGAAATGCGGTTTTTCCACTTCCTGCTTCACCTTCCAGCACGATAGTGGAGTTAAGGTTCGCAAGAATTTCATGAAAAAAGAGCTGCTGTATTGGCTGATCATTAATATCCTTTGAGACAACTGATAGGTCCCCATAGAGTAATTTCAAGTCAATAGCCAAATGGTTTGAGTTCCCAAAGGAAGACAATTTGCTGAAGCTCCTATTGTTGTAAGCCTTTGTAAGTTGTTCGGTCAAGTTCTTTGCTTCTTGAAGACGCTGACTTTCAACAAGTGTCATGTCTGCAAAAAGGATGAAATTAAATAATAAAACCTAGTGAACAGTTGATTCTGCACACAAAAGACAATATAGTCAGCTGTGCATTAAATTGGAGTAATAAGAACCTGAGATTTTCTAGATAATGAAAAAAACTGGTATAACTTCTGGATAAATCAAGTTCCCACAGTTTCTCTTTGTCCTACTCAGTTGGCTTTGCACCCATCTGGTTTACTGTGGGGTTAGTTTGTGTGTAGCAAGTAATCAAGTGATAAAATTGAGCTAAAAAGCCTTGCTGGACCTGACCTAGCTCTGTGCAGAGGCATGCTGGTATGTCAGTGCAACGATCCCTAGCCTTCCATGGTCTGAAAAGAATAATTAGCTCAGATGCAGCACTGTGTCAATAAACAACTGACTTGCCAGTCTCGCAAGCAGGCTCAGAGAGTGGTGAAGACACGTTCAGTTGGCACCATGCAGACAAAGTAGTGTTAAACTTGACCTAAACATCCTTTCTGGACCCACATTAGCTTCCTACAGAGCCACTGCGCCTCTGCACCACGCTCTGTAAAGCTGTTGCTCTGCCAGGGTTTCTAAGTTCTGGTACAGAGCATTGATTCTGGATAGAGCCAGCTGTGTTGCCTGTGCCCATAGTACAGTTTATCCACAAAACAGATAATATGTCCTAAAATAAATGTGTGGGGGCTGTACTTTGGTATTTCCGAACAGCTGAAATAAAGTAAATGTACTTTTAGACTGATGTAATTATACAGATATGCAGTATATGTATTGCCAAAAAACCCCACAGTAATCTGTCAATATCAAATGAAGCAGTACCATTTTATTCTTTGCATATGCAACAAAAGTACAATGAACCCCAGAAATGCTCACTGGCCCTTCCTGCACTTCACCAAGAGATGACACCAGAGAGCTCCTTTGCTAAATTTCAGACATGATAGGGTATATTTATGCCATAGCCTGGGGATCTAGGACTTCTTATCAGAAACAGCCCCAGTCACTTGCAGTAAAATGGCGATGTATGTGTCGGTGAATACAAAGAATGAACAAACGCCTTCATTAATAAACTGACAACTATGACTTTTATTGTTCCCTCTGCCATTTCAGTACCTTGAGGTTTAAAACTATTATTATGCTTTCAGCGCTCTAAAATGTGCTTTTAGTGCCTTCAAAAATTACAAAACAGCTCCATCTGATACATATATCCCAAATAATTTTGGCATTTCTGGGAAGCAGTAATAGCTGGTTTGTGGATTAACAGAAAGCTGCTAAAAAAAGCATCTGGGCAGTACCAGCACAGCAAATTTACTTTTGAATTACAAACTCAGTGCTTGCACATCAGTACTGTTCTGCAGCAACTCAGTGCAAACTCGTTGTGTATGAACTTTTCCTTCAGAAATCCACACATGTATCAACAAAACCGCTCCCTTGAAATGGCCATTGTATTTGGAAAAAGGAAGCATCAGAAGCAAAAGATATTGGAAGGTTATACCATCTTAGTTTCTTTTGTATCTAAAAGTATGTACATATAATATGTAGTACACAGCTGATATACATTCGCAATTTTCCTCAACATGAATGAAAAAAACCATACCATATTGTGACAAAATAATTTAGTTTGCTTATATGCCTCACCTGCACAGAACTGACTTTCCCCTGCTAAGGGATTGGTTTATATTCATAATCACAAAAGCAGCAGTAGCTGACAGATTCTCTATTTGTTGTCTCTATGTATGGACAATCCATAAATCCTAACTCAGTCCTTACTTCAATGAAAATTTTGTCTTACTAAGTAAGGGCCAAAACCAGAAAACCATTAACAAACTTCTCAAACTAAAATGTAAATTCAAGTGAGGCTGCACAGTACTTACCAGCTCTTACAGAATTTAGGGTTGCTTTCTCTTCAAGGTTTGCTTTACAGGGAGTTTGCTAGAACAAAAATAAATCCAGTTATACTCCCTTACATATTTATTATTTAGTTCAGACTGAGTTGCTTAGGTACCGGCAAGCACCAGCAGCTGCAAGGGCAATTTACAACAGATGCAGTACTAGCTCTGTATTTTGCAACACTAGCAAAATGCTTTTACTCCTCTGAGAAGCAGGACCCGAGCCACAACGCCCCTCTGTCTTCATCTCTCTCTCTCTCCCCTGTAAGCTTCTTCCATCCCAGGGTTTTGCTGCCTGCCAAGGGTACGAGGCCCAGCTCTGATACGACACATGCATAACCTTGACGCAGAGTGCCGAGAGAAAGCCGTGAGACGGTCTGCAAAGATGCAGGAAAGGTACCGCTACAGGCAGAGGGAGCAGGGTGAGACAGGCGGCTGATGGCCGGAGGACTCTGCCGTGTGCCTGCCCAGCAAAGACCTTCGTTTGCCTGAGCAGGGTGGTGAGCATGCTAGGGCTCAGCCTCAGAGCTCGTAACATCCCATCTATCTTTAGCATGAGTTAGCAAATAAATAATCGCTTTGTACTTCTCAGTTGTGTATATCCTCAAGGAGCCTGAACAAACCGACCCAAGAGAGGAGCTGTGAGGTCTCCCACAATAACACGTCCTGCGCAAAACCTCTCCACTAGCTTCCCGCAGTCCCACAAACTGGGACTCAGCTTTCCCCCTGCCACCAGCCTCTCTGCAGCGGCCTCTCGACAGCCCTGCGGTTCCCGTGGCCGTGCCCGGCACCCCAGGCTGGCCTGCTTTGCTACCGACAGAGCAGCCCAGGGGCCCGGGCGCTGTTGCACACATTACAATTTGCCAGCAAAGGATGACTACTGTTAGTTACTAAAAAGCTGATTGCCGGTAGCTGCCCTGCAGAGATGCTTTCTCCACAACTTGGGTGAATGCCTGCCGGCAGGCAGCTACTTTATGGGGGTACGTGTTTGAACACCGCGGGTACCTGAGCCACGAGGGCTCAGAAACACCTTTACAGAGGCAGAGGGGAGCTGCCGCTGCCGGCACCATGCCGAGGCGGGTCACATACCCCCCACCCATTCAGCAGCCTCTGAAACACAGTGAATTGAAAAGGTTGTCTGGGATGGACGGCTGCAATAAGCTGCTGTTGCTGCTCGTTCTGCACACACGTGCGCGGAGGGTCCCTGTAACTGTATCATCTAAAACTGCAAAGCAAGAAAATGGCTTCACTAACAGCAAATACTGCACACTAGCGCAAACCTGTGCAGACTGTAATGTCGACGGGCTCTCTGGGTGCTCTTCCAGTGACTTTCCAAGTACCTCCAAGCAGTTGGAACTAGAATGATGTTTTCAAAATACACAGCAGTTAGCGTAATGCATGGCTTCTATTGCTTATATTTGGCAGAAAGATGGAGCTATTTCACAAACATTCCTTTTGTTTGGAAGCTTTTAGTGTATTTCTACATTTAAACGTCAATTAAAAAAAAGGGTTTTCACAGAGGCATTATGTGCTATACACTCAAGGAACATATAGTTATTTATATACATTTAAAGTAGTATTAAAAAAACAACAGCAAAAGTGTATGGCAACTTTCATCACACAGCAGAAAATTGTCTTAAGATACTCTGTCACTCACTCAGGGAACCATTTTGCATGTCCTTCCCTAGGATCTTCACCTTCTTCCCATTTGTGTAAGCAACCTGCACAGTTGAAGCACTGTACCTTATCGCCTTCTCCTGTAAGCAAGAAATGATGCACTTCAAAAATGGTCACGTACATGATTTTTTCCTTACTAACATGCCAGCAGCATAAAGACTGCAACAATGCAGCTGTTTCTTGAGTTTACTTCGGTGACGTCTATCTCTTCCTGGAATTACATGCTTTTTAGATCACGAATAAGAAAAATTAAATCAAGGAAAAGAAAATGCCATAGAATTAAGAGATGTGCCATTATTGTCCTTTTAGTGACACCAGACAAATGAATATACGAGTGTTCAGATAAATGCTTCCTCCTTTTTAAAAACATATCCTCCTTGCAAGTCTTTGCTCTGGCTTTCACCTCAGACAAGGTCATTCCATTTCGATTCCCTTGCTCCAGCTTTTGCAAAAGCCATTCTGATTTTGCAGCTGCATTATTCTCCTTACTGAAAGCTAAAGAAAGATTTTAATTAGGTACCAGGACTATCTTGAACCTCTCTCCCAGCTGCATTGGAAAGTGGATCTTTTACTTGTCCTGTGTTTATACAGCTAACAAACTTGGTTCAAACCTGTATAGAAGAACCCGGCTTTAGCAAGAGCAGTGGCTTCAACACGGGCTTCTGCTGGCCAAGTTTTAAAAGAGTCCAGTCGAACTCCTTCATCCTCAAAGATGTTCAAGACGAGATCACCTTTGCAACCAAAGATACTTGGTTAGTTAGGAAAGCTTTAGCCTGCTATCAGATTCTCCAATGCAGGAACAGAACTAGATTGCATATATCCCAGGCTTACAGCAAAGCAAAACCAGGACTACACAACCGTATCTTTCAGACAATTATAAATGTATATTCTTGATGTATAGTACAGATGAAAATCTCTGTTTTTCTTTCAAAGCCTTCAGGTTTCATTTATTTCTCATCTCTCTCTTACAAATGCAAGTGAGATAGATCTACTCAAGCAGCATGTTTTACGTTTAGCTTCTACAGAGAACAAAATTTTACTTGTAGTAAAAGCTTCAGAAATACAGAACCAAGCTTTCATTGTTAAGGGTGATGTACAAGAAAAATATGAAGGCATTATTTTCTAATGAAAAGCGAATAGACAGTGGATTCTATTTTCTTACCTGTTGCAGTAGACAAATTCTCCTTGATAAGGGAACATGTGAAATGCCTTCCCTAAGTGGAAAATTAAAAATTAATACTTATTTCTATTATGCATTCTATTTTCATTTCACCCTTTGGCTAGACAAAAGAAATAACTATCATATATAAACAGGGCTAGTACTAAGCATCAACATTTTAAATGCTTTCAGTTTGAGAATTTTCTGAAACAGAATTGACTAATGACAGGTTACTATTAATGAGAAGAAATGGCTCTCCTCAGGCAGTAGCAGCTCTAAAGAAAGAAAGATAGCACCGATGCTCTTAAGATATCCGAGATGGTGTTTTCCAAGTGACACTTGCAGCCCTCTCATCTTACATCAGCTAATGGGTTTCGCTTCCAGATTTTTTGAGATTTTTGAGGCATAGGGGTTTTAATCACGAAAGATCTAACATATATTATATTTCTTCTGATGAAAACAAGTCCTCCAAACAAAGATGAAGTGATACCAGAGCTGGTGGGTTAGAGTTCACCTAACCTGACTTCAGCCATGCAGAAGTGCTTAGTTTAGCACTTTCACCTACAATCTTCCTAATAGTCAATATATATGTATAGGTGCCATGAGGAGTTAATTAATCCATCTGCCTTTGAGTAGGATAAATGCCAATTAGGTGTATGTTGCTTTTCATCAATGGACTTCCTAGGTACTGCCGCAGCAAGCAGCTTGGATGCACACATCAAAATAAACTTACATGAAACAAATTCCACCTAGAGTGCACAGTGTTAATTACATATGCAATTATATCCAGCTTTTGGGTTTTTGGGGTATTTTTTAGGAGGAAGAGGGTGGAAATCAGGGTCAAGGCCTAATTTGCCTGTCTTCAAGTCCCATATAGCAACTCCTTGGGGTGTATTCCATGATAAAGGAAGATTGAAAGAGATGACAAGATTACCACCACTCCAACAAATCCACTGTAGGTTTCAATGTACTTTTTAATTTCCTCACTTGATTTCTTACTTTGAAGGAATTCACATCTACAAAAAAACCCAAAATGTTATTCCTAAGCATTAATTCCAATTACAATTCTGGAAGCAGTGTTTCAGTTATTAAGAGTTGCATGCTCAGGACTTTTCACAACAGAAAGACAATGGAACAAAGGCAAACTTTTTGGTGCCGTCAGCATCGTTCATGCAACATAGTGACTGTCTGAGAGAATAATCAGCTGGCTTTTGCTCAGTGAAAAGCCCATGGGAGATCTCTAGAAAGTATGTAAAACAATATACAGAGAGTAATTATAAGGTTAGGGATAGTAGATTTGTACAGTTCAGTTCTCAAAAATAAAGATCTGCTGAAATCAATTGTCTGAACATAACAACCTTGAAGACAAATATGTGGGGTTTGTTTTTTATTTCTTTACTTTCCAGCATTGTTGCTGAGTTAAAAAAGAGATATCAAAACAAATCAACCTTTTTGTACATATAGAAATCTAGTACAGACAGTCAACTTACTGAGGAAACCATTTAGCATGTTCTCTCCAAGGATCATCACCATCTTCCCAATTTCCCAGACATCCACCACAAGCAAAACACTGCACTGTATCTTTCTTGCCTGCATGTAGAGAGTTACAGATCTCAGAGATAATCACACATTTGCGTGTTTTACTTCCTCGCACTCTAGCCACGCGACGAGTATACCAGTGCATATCATTGGTCCAAAATTTGTAGCTAAGGGAAGCCTTTTTCTTTGCTTATCGCAACTGAAACTAAAAGGTTTACAAAACTGCTTAGATTTTCATTTAATTTCAGTTAGGTCAGTCTGGTTCTACACACAGTGCAGATCCAAAAATGAAAATATAAGGCAGATCTTTCCATCAAAATAAAACTTCAGAAATATCTGAGAAATTGTAGAGGCTTGATAGAATAAACTTGTCTTTTTTGTTGGCTATTTTTTAAATTTTGCATTCTAGCTAGTCAGTTTATTTGTAAAAGCTAAGTAAATGAATAATTCTAGAAACCAACAGAATAAGATGGGACAACTAGAATTTCCGTCCCTAAGCTAACATATCGATAGTCAGCATAAATGTGATGGAAGAAAGACAGGTCAGTCAAATGCTGTAATGCCAGTATACAAAATACTCAGGGAAAACTGAGTAAACAGTGCTAGAAGGAATATCAGATCTTAATGATATCTTAGAACAAAATCAAACTAACCAACAAAGAGCAAAGATTTTCTACAGATTGGAATTTCAGGCCTCAGTTCTTGGTCCATGTTACCAGCCAACCAACCAGGGTGACAAAACTGAGTACATAATGCTCAAAGAAATGAGAGAGGCACTGTGGGCAAGAAACAATTGTACCCAGTGACTCCAGTTATCCCCCAAGTGGACTGCACAGATACCACCGTGAGATGCAAAGTAGAGATGACTTTATTTTAGATACTATCAGGCATAATCTCATGGGGCAGCTGGTTAGCAAGTCTACAAGATGATGTGACTTGGTACTGAGAAATGCACTGGGAAGAGCTCAAAGTCTCATAGTGGAAGCGTCACTGTGTAACCATGATCGCAAGTTACTTAGGTACAACATCCCCCACAGGAACAGGGAACTTACTAAGGCTATGTTAAACTTTAAAAACAGGAAGTATATAAAGGTAAGGAAGCTGAAATGGCTGACTAAATAAAACCAATGAAAAAAAAAAAAAAACACAAACACACCAAAAACCCCAACGACTCTCTTACAGGCATTTCAGAGTTTCCTGAAAGATGTTTTACTGGAAATGCAACACCAGCATGTGCTATTTACTAGAAAAGACTTAGGAAAAGTTACAGGAAAGGAGTATGACCAATAGGAAAATAAATCCAATTACAAAAACTAAGAAGGTATCACTCAAAACGCTGAAGCTTTTGAGCAAAGAAAATGGAAGGCTCAAAAGCTCTGACAGATGAAGTGTGAAAATAAAATCAGGCAGGCTGGGAAAAAAAAAAAAAGTCCAAGAGTAACAAGCTAAAGGAATCTAAAACTTCTTCCACATGGCAGGAACAAAAAGGCAGTGAAGAGAGCTGGTAGAGCCAACTGCTAACCAGGCTGTAAAAGAACCATTCAAAGGGGACAGTGCAATTGCAGGGGACTTGAAGTGACATTCTCTGCAATATCTGCATTAATGTTCACTGCAGAAGAATTCAGGGAGATTCCCATTGTCTAAAGCAGTGGGGCCATACAGCAGAAGGTGGATCCAAAACCAAAGCAGTTATGCAACAGATTATGGCTGAGTGGGGAAAACATAATACCAATCTTTAAAAAGCAGCCTGCACCTTTGGGGGAGAGGAAGAGACATCAGATCTATAAGTCTGGCATCTGTTAGAGACAAATAAGCAGAAAAAAGTATAATTATGTCACTGTACAAACCCACGATTAATCCACATCTTAAACAGTGCATGTGATTGAGGTCCCCTGAACTCAAAACATACTGTATTAGAAGAGGAAAAAGTGCAGGGAACAGCAGCAAGGATAATAAAATTGTGGAACACCTTCCACATGAAGAATGGTTGAGTTGCCTATGTTCTTCAGCCTGGGAAAGAAAGCATTTATGGGGGATACAATACATCGCAAAACGATGAGCGGCATGAAAAAACCAATGTTGTACCCATTCAAGTCTTGTAAGTAGACTCGCATCGTTTTATAAATCAAAACAGAAATCCCTGCAAGCATCGCTTCCAATTACCTGCAAAGAAAAACCCAGCTCTGGCCAGTGAATCAGGCTTTGTTCCTCGGGCATAGAATGGCCATCCGTCAAAGGACTGCAGCCTTGCGTCCTCCGCGCTGTACCTGTAGGCGTGCTCTGCTAGGTTCTTCTCCAACTTCTGAACACGTACATCGTACTTTGAAATATTACCCACCTCTTTGCCCAGGACAAATTCACAAGTGGGAGAAAATTTCTTGTGCTGTTCGTTCGGGGTACATCTAAGCTTCATGGCAAATAAAACTAATCCACAGCAAAAACACTGCACGCTGGATTTAACACCCGTGTGATAAAAGCCAGCAGCTGCCATTTCTGTGAAAGACCATGATGAATGAAATGTATAGGACAAGAAGGACTTTAATCTATTGTGTTCATTTCTCATGGTAGGGTTGTAACCCTTCTGCAGCTGCTTGCGGACTTCTTGGAATTCTGCCTCCAAGTCTTTGGCAAACTTGTGAAAATCAAAGGCTCCATGCGGGAAATGAGCTTGCAATGCGAAAGGATTCAGCTCATGTATTTCATTCTCATTTGTCTCTGCTGTAGGGTCCTCTTTGGCAGACATTTTCTGAAAAAACAAGGAAGACTACCAAATTATATTACGCGCATCTTTTAGATAACATTCAGTCATCACCTCTGTTATGTTAATAACACGTTTTTTACGGGTTATAAATATTTGATTTCACCTTACTAAGAAGCAATAAGTTAACGGTAGAGTTGGTATGAACAGGTGTATTATTAAATCTGACTAGCCAATTTGAGACTTCTGCAAACTCTGACTGACCACTGCCCTTATAACAATAACAGCAAGTATCCTGAAGCCTTTACAACCAAAATGGGGAGAAAGAAAGAGACATAAACAGGTGAGATTTGAGCAAGATGACACCGGTGGCTGGCAGACTGTAAGAGCTTCATCCTGTAGCTTAAAAACCTAGAAAGGCCTCAGTAAACCAACACACCTCTATCATCTCAATTCTTCCATCTCAAAGCCATGACTGAATGTTGCTAGCGTATTTTGAATTTCTCCTTAAATTAGGAAAAAAAAAAGGTGGCAAGACATGCAATGCAAATGGAAGACAGGAAGCAGAAATGAAAAACAGAAAAAAATAATCAAAGCAAGCAACTGTTTTACTGCAGTATTTTTAATTGTTAGCTGTTTTCAACATAAGCAGTGACTAGCAGGAACTGCATAATCCTTCGTGAGAAGGAACTGGGAATTCATCATCACAAAACAAAATTAATTTGGCAATGAAATTTATTGCCAAATTCATACTGTCAATACTTCTCTCCAATAAAGTGGTTTTATTAAATGTGTGGTATTTCCACTAGTCTTCTCAACTGTAGCTTATCTTGTGGAACTAATGACTTTTTGTCGTTATTAGTACTGCGGTAAGACAAGTGTAGGAAATATTTTGCTATGTGATGGTTCAGAACACATCAAACACGTCTACAGTTCAGCTCCATATAGTCAAATTCTGCTCCCCACACCTCCAAAGAGCTTTGCTTTGTTTTCTCAAATAACTGAGGGATCTCAAGAGATTTACAGCATTTACCAAACAAATTCATCCTTAAGAAAGTGATTCTAAATCCAGAATCTCCAACCTGTTGGAGAGTAAAAACTCTTTTTCACTGGTTATAAAAATCTCATTCTCCTCTCACAGGAAAATGTACGCTAAACAATTTAAATGCTTTCAAATCCCAAGGCAAAAAGTGCTGCAAAAGTTGTAAAAGTCTTCAAGTTCTATTATATTTTGAGAAGTTACTTTCATGAATTGCACTATGGGCACCACGTTTATTTTTCCTAAATATGGAAACGTGATTCTCGTTCAAATTTGATGACTTTAAAAATAAAATTCATCTACTCTCATTCCTTCAGCCAGGAGCCTGCACAATCCGGTAATGCTTCAGAGTTAGTACTTTGTGGCATTTTTTCACGCATAAGCTACATCACAATCTAGAATTAAAACTGTTCCTCACATTGCATGAGACAGACCAGGATGCCATGTAAGTTCTTCAGGAGTTGCGGTTGTTATGCAAACTAAATCCAGACATTTCTTTTACTCATATTTTAATTAATATATTTTCAGCACTTCCGCTCTTGGAAATTAGTTATGAGCATTAATACAGATGGTAACTTTTATTCCTGCCAGGAAAGTATAAAGTGGACAGTAAAGCAAGGGCACTCACCTTTCCGAAATCCCCTTCGCTCCACACGGTAGCGCGCTCTCTGGTCTCACGGTGCCTTTCAGCCTCAAACTTCTTGCCACAGTTGTGTCCCCAGCCCCACCAGAGGATGTTTTTGTCTTTTTCTCTCTTCCCTCAACCCTTTATGTCCAAACCATATTGTGCAACATCTTCAGGAAGTACAAGAATTTCTCACAGGCCTGCTAGTAACCTCGCCGATTGACTAACCTTGCGTCAGATCCCGTAAATACGGAAATACAAGAACGAAGCAGGCTGGAGCTTCCCACAAGCAAGGGAGACTTGAGAACCAGTGAATCCCAGTCAAAGAGTACAGATGAAGGAGCCATTTCCTCCATGCTGCTTTAAATACAAAGGCCACAGCTGAAATTCTTTACACATCAAAGAAATGTTGCCCTGACAGCGATTTTTCAGGACCTAGTTTGAACTGCTCTTCCTATCAGACAAGAAGGGTGGAAAACGACAAGCCAAATTATTACTCAGACCACAACCAAATAAAGGAGTATATGGCCACAACTTCTACACAGCTTCTACTTCCAAGTATGTTATTTTCATGTCTAGCAAGAGAAAAAGCTAGAACAGATTTAAAGTGTTTTGACAAAACCTTTTTTTTTCCACTAAGAAATGCTGACTGTGAAGATGAAAGTAGTATGAGAAAACATCGTATCAAGAGGCTGTCACCAGTATCAGAATATCTAAGAGCCAGATGCTTAGGGCAGCCCTACTAGACCACACCAAAACCCATGAACATGTAATTTTTCTGCTAGTTTTTAGGACACCCTTACAGTAACAGGCACTGCAATCACCTGATAGCACAAAGGGGTTATACGGATTGTTTGACTCAGCACAAAATGAAACACAGATGCTGAAACAGTCATTTTTCTGCCAGCACAGTAGAATTACTGCATTCCAGCCAGACTGCAGGCATAAATAGTAGAAAAAGCACAGAAGGAACTATGTTAACAATTGAGAATTTGCGTATTTAAAGGATTTGAAATGAAAACTGTCTGTGAAAAGTGAGAAGTAGCATGTATTGTTTGTATGCGGCGAGTGTGAAAAACAGGGAACTAACTTACGGGTTTGCTTTTTTTCTGTGTGCTTGTTTGAACTTTCAAGATTCAGTGGTTGCTGTTCCTAATCTGACAACAAAACTTACAATTTTAAAAATTAAGTCAGATGCATCCAGAGTAACTCAGTCACAGATGTATTACAAACGTCACAAGATGACTTCAGAAAATCCAATGTGACGTCCTGCTTTAGACTGCACCATCACAACCTGCTCTTACTGAGGTGTATGTAGCATGTTACGTTCTCACAAGTTCAAATTGCAATCAAACTTTGAACAGACACTGTAAAATCACAGAATCATGGAATGCTTTGGGATGGAAGGGACCTTAAAAGGTCATCTAGTCCAGCCCCCCTGCAATGAGCAGGGACATCTACAACTAGATCAGGTTGTTCAGAGCCCCATCCAGCCTGGCCTTGAATGTTTCCAAGGATGGGGCATCTACCACCTCTCTGGGCAGCCTGTTCCAGTGTTTCACCACCCTCATTGTAAAAAATTTCTTCCTTACATCTAGTCTGAATCTACCCTCTTTTAGTTCAAAACCATTACCCCTTGTCCTATCGCAACAGGCCTGCTAAAAAGTCTGTCCCCATCTTTCTTATAAGCCCCCTTTAAGTACTGAAAGGCCGCAATGAGGTCTCCATGGCAAAGAGTGTCTTGCATTTGTCTCAATTTCCATTCTTCAATGTTCAGATAAGGACAGGTGCTTCCCCTTCTCCCCCCACCTTATTGTCTGTTGCTCTGGGAGCTTAGCCAAGGAGAGAAGACGACTTGCAGTTCTGGCAATTCGTTCTAGCCTCAGAATCAAAACGGCATCGCTGTCTTCAATACTGTGACCATCAAACAATAGTTTGCATAAACTCAAGTCTTACACCTTTGCAAATTCATTGCCTTTCAGTAACCTTACACTCCTACAAGAAAGTGAAACTTAAACCACGCAACTATAGGCACAGCAGTAATAGAATTGTTAGTTTTGAGCTGCATCATTAAAACCTAGAACGTGTTTTCAGCACATTTATAGCAGCTGTATTTGAGTCACCTTAGTGAAGGCCACGGTGAATAGCCACAATACTTGAAATTGATATTTGAAATGTCCCCCAACTAATAGCTCAAACCCACCTTTGTTAAATTCTTATAGAAAATATTTTGATCTATAGAACTCCACCATCCACCAAAAACAAGAGCATATAACAATCAATATGTAAAATACATTTTCAGGGCTCCTTTTTTTAACAAATAATGAAACAAAGATGAATCACCACATTATCATACAAACCAGTTTTATCACTTTCGCATTTACAAATATACATGCTACTAACAATAGCATTCAGAAAAAGCCAGGGTTTTTCAGAGAAGATCAAAGAAAATAAATTGGATACAGATAATTCAAGAATATATTAACAGTAACAAAATCATTAATACATTAGGTGAAAATTAATGTTTGCTCCCAAGCCAGTGTTCATCCTTTCTGTGATCACCTAGGTCCTTCTTGTTTTGAGGTGCCTCACTGAAAGCTATGGCTGAATAAACAAAATAGATTTATGCAAGAATGACATAGATATGACAATTTCTATAAAGAGATGACATCATGCAGATATGGGAGCAGGGTGCTCATGAATACAGCCAGGACAGCAGTGCAGTGAATCATGAACAAACAAATCGCATTCCACGCAAAATGCATTCTGACACACTTTACATATGTAAACCTGTGTGGAAAAGATAGAAAAGTCAAATTAGGAAAAAATTATTACCATCATAGCACTACAGGAGGGCAACAGTTGCATTATCAAGATGGTGTACATAGACTATATTGCTAACATCACAGAAAACCAATTGAAGTTTCTAATGGCAAGTATGTCCAAAGGGCTGAGTTCAAGTCACTGTAGATGCTTCCAAATGGCTAAGAGTGGAAGGTTATTTATGCAACTCTCTAGGAAATCCCTTCCCACACTTTTATAGACTTTGCAGTCTAAAAGACATAACTCTATAACAGAGAACTCTAGTTAACCATGAGATAAACTTCCACAAATATTTTTCTGGTCTTTAGAAGACTATACTAAAGGATCATCTCTACTTCTGACACCCCTCAATGCAAATTCCAATGCAGTTCAACATACTTACATTTTGATCTTTCATTTCTCCCTGGCAGCCTTGACAATACCTAAAAGCAAAATTGTGTATTTTAACTGAAAAAGAAGTCAAGAGTGTGTAAAATGGTGTTTAAAAAACATCTCATACATAGTAACAATTTATGGCAATTATTTCAGCTATTCAACTGAACATACAGGATAACTGTTAATGGGTACTACAAATATTTCTTATTGCCAGAGGTGCCCCAAAATGCCCAAACATTCAACAGTGTCTCCAGCAGCAAAGAAGCTGCTGCCAGCTATTCTTACTTTGGTGACAAAACAATTACAGGGTCCACAAGTACATTCATTATCACAAATATGATTTGCATACCGTTCCCCCTGGTATTCTTCCAAGGGAACTTCCTGAAAGGCATCCAAAGGAAACAAGTGATGGTAAGACCGAGCCAGGTGAGGTGCAGACACTAATGTAAGACCTGCAAATAGAGACATCAAAATTACTATAAGAGAGAACTTACTGAAAAGCTTTTCTGTATTAAACAAAGCAAAAAGGAAAAAAGATTTTTTAATTACATTCAGAACTTTTAAGAATTAAAAACCATAACCATTTGATAGCTTCCATAATTGAAACCTGTAATCCTTTCCAGAATTAACTCCCAAATATAAAGAACAAGCAAATTCCTCAAATTTCTAATTAAAATGTTTAACTCAGTCTTTAGAAGTACATTTACAATGCACAGTTGTAAAGTTAACAAGTTTTTCATCCTCATGCCATAAACAAAATGCAACCATAGAAGAGTCTTCCAATTAAATGTAAATGCACAACTCTTTGGCAATGACAGTTCTGCTGTTTCACATCACCAGCTAAAATAGTGCCCAACTAAAAAGCTCTACTGCAGCCTACTATAATACTGCCAAAGGCACACCGTAGCCCTGTTTCAGCTGACACAGGTCTGCTGGTTTTGGCTGGGGTAGAGTTAATTTTCTTCACGGTAGGTAGCATGGGGCTATGTTTTGGATTTGTGCTGGAAACAGTGTTGATAACACAGGGATTTTTTAGTTACTGCTGAGCGGTGCTTACACAGAGTCAAGGCCTTTTCTGCTTCTC